GCAGCTCCTTCCGCTCCTCCTGCTGCCTCCGGGGTGAAATGCTGGTGGGGAGGGGCCAGCCCAGGCTGACCTTTGCAGGCCTCGCCCCTTCCTCTCCTTCATCGCACCTTTGGCTGCCCCTCCCGGCTGCACCCGGGTGTGGGAGGGCATACGCATCTCGTCACACAGGCCCCTGCAGGTCCCCAGGTGGAGCCGGCCCTGACTGCCACCCTCCCAGCCCTGCCCTGGCCCGGGATCCAGCTCTCTGGCTCACGCGGTCCCCTCCCTGTGCAGCGCCATTTGCATCCACAGCCTCATTTGCAGCCAGACCCACCGGCTCCCAGAGCCACTCCCAGGGTCCCATCTCGCCGCCGCCGTTCTCCTAGTTCTGATGCAGCCTTGCGGATAAGCTGCCAGCCCACGGCTTCTCCCGGCTTCCCGGCCTGTGCCGTGGGGAGAGGGTGGGCCAGAGAGATGCTCTGAGCCCCAGCTGGGCCTCGGGATTGCTCTGAACATCCTCCAGGGGGGTCCTACGTGTCAGAGACGGAGCGCAAACCCATGAACCCTTGAGCATCGTAGTGGTAAGATCACGAACTTGGGCATCAAGCACCTGGAGTCAGATTCCGGCTATGCTATGCCCTGGACCCACGCGGGGCGGTTCCTTCCCCTTTCTGAGCCTGTCCCCTCACCACGCACCTGGTGAGGGGTTGGCACCCACCAGGTGCTCAGTAAAGGGCATTCTTTTAAAACAGCAGTAGTGCAAGGACCAAGAAGCAGAGAAGGCCAGTCCCGAGTATTGGAGGCACCCTTTACTTGGCTGCTCCCAGGGGGTGGGGACACTCATCCATCCTGTGTCCAGGCGAGGAGATGCTAAGGGCTGTGAGTCCGGGAGGCAGGGATCCATGTGGACTGGGATGGGGTGAGGTGCTTTGCGGTCTCTGAGGACTAGAGGGGGCGGGGAGACCCACTATCATGGCCTTGACCTGGCCTGCCCTTAGGACACACACTCTCTGGGCCCCGGTCTTCCCAGAGCCCACAGATGGCCCGCAGATGGCCTGTGAGCAGCAGCACGGGGAGGCCTTAGGACCCCATGGAGGCGCAAGGCTGAGGGGATCTGAGCATTGGTGCAGGAGTCATCGGCGCATGTCATCACCACATGTCGGCCAGGGGCACAGCATGTGCAAAGGCCCGGTGGCTGGAGGGCTCATGGTGAGTGCTGACACCAGACACGTCGGCAGGGACCACCTGCAGGCCTCGAGGGTCCTTGTGGGTCCTCGTGGGTGATGGGCCTTCTCCCAAGTGTGGCAGGGAGCCATTGCAGGACTGGGGCTTGGCGATGTGCCACCCCACACTGGGTATGTGGGTTGGGGAGGGGACCGGGTTGTATGGGGCCAGTCGGTGTACAGCCGGGAACCCAAGTTTCCCATGAGGGTGGTCTGTCATATCCCATGGCCAGGGGCAGGGTTGGGAGGGGCAGTCTGAGTGCCCACCTTGGGCACCATTGTCCCTGGGTGAATTTGCTTTGTTGAAAATTCCACTCCCCTCTCTGCAGGACCTTGAGACCCTGGAATCAGGGGAAGCCCATGTGATTCCCTGGAAGCCTCGGGCCCTGGGGAGTCTCTGGATGATGGTGGTGGAGGCCAGGGGAGGGGCCTGTAGAGCGGGCCTCCAGGTGGCATGGTCACACCCACCCTGTGCCGGGCCTCAGTTCACCTCCACTGAGGGCCTCGCATCCTCCCCCAGAGTTGAGGCCACCCCGCCCTGCACAGGTGAGCCCCACCTGCGCTCACCTGCACTCTGGGCCCTGCTCAGACCAGGCCGGGGGGGCTCAGGTCTTCCTTGGAGTTTCTGTGTGACGCCTGCCCCAGGGCCGGCCGCCCCAGGCCTGGCCCACGCTTGGTCCTGTGGCTGTCCCTGCCTTGCTGTTGGCCTGACTGCCTGGACGTGAGGGGTCTGGCCCAGAAGGAACCGGCCCCCATCCCTCCCCCTCCCCGGGATACACACATAAGGCAAGAAGCCGAGGGCCGTGTCTACCCAGCGGTCACCCCCAGGCCCTTGTCACACTCCACATCCACACTCCTCACCACGGCCCCCAGGGCTCCGGGCCTGCCCACCCATCCCACCTGCTCTCCTGCGCTCGCCTCCTTCTGCCCCTCCAGCTCGGCCAGCCTTCTGGAACCTTCTGGAAGGTGCTGAACTCCTCCCCAGCCGACTGCCTCTGCCCTTGCGTTCCCTCTGCCTGGAACTCAGCAGGTGCTCCGTGAGTGCTCATCACTGAGTGCTGAGATGGGCTGCCAGGTGCTGTTCTAAGTGCTGTGTGCATCACCTCAGGAAGAGGCACAGCTCGCTACTTCCTGGCTGCGGGACAGGGCCAGCTCCGCTCCAAAGCTGGGGAGGATCAAGCAGGTCGAGGTGAGGCCTAGGAATATGCCTTTTCACAGGCTTCCTCCCCTCCCCTCCCCCACTCTTTAAGAAACAATTGCCTTTAGAGTCAGCTGGACCCGGTGCCAGTCTTGGCTATCACTTTTGAGCTGTGTGACCCCAAGTGAGTGACTGTACTTCTCTGAGCCTCTAAAATGGGGATGAGCGTCCCCGGCTGCGGGGCGGCTTTGATGTGGGTGGAAGGCCACTCCCGCACCTGTACACAGTTCCCATCGCTCTCAAGAGCCGCTCCCTTCCCATCCTGCAGGCCCCATGCTGCCCAGCTCGCCCCCTCTGGGGAAGGACACCTCAGAGGCACCTGGGCCCCCAACCCGGGCCACCACCCCCCCCACACACACACACACACAAACCCTCCTCTCACTTTTCATTCTTGTAAATTGACGTCAGCACTGCTGAATCATGAAGCTGAGGTTTGAGACAGAGAGAATCTGTACCTCCGGGGAAGCCACATGGCACCCATCGCCCCCGGCCCACCCCAGCCCTCTCTTCCTCTGCAGCGCTGTCTGCACACATCTGTGACACGGGCCTGCAGTGCGGCCCACTGTACACGGCTTAGCATAGATCTTTTTGAAAAGGACTCACAAAGAGAAGGGGCCGCCTCTGGGGAGCGTGCTCAGATGGGGGCCTCAATTCTTAGCTGCTGGGCTCCAGGTTTTCTAAGAGGAAGGGGTTTGTGGAAGGAAGATGTGATTTTTCCACTTTTTTTTTTTTCAAGGAGGAAAAAACCCTGAAAATATTGGAAACTACCTGCAAATTCACCCCTTAGATGCGGACCTGGTTCCTCATCTGTAAAGCGGGGATAGTCACAGGCCCTAAGTCATACACAAGGCGGGGGTGAAGGCTGATGTTTTAATATCAGTCACTAGGGGTCTGGAGTGGGGCCGGCAGTGACGCTATCTCTAAAAATGTCAGCAGCTGCTGCTGTTTATTCTTCTTATTATTGAAACCATTAGGCCCTCGTGGGAGGCTGTGTTGCCTTGTGGTACCCAGCCGCTGAAGCTGTACAAAGTTTGAAAATCTGGCTCCCCTACTTGCTGTGTGTCCTGCTAGGCCTCTCTGAGCCTCAGTCTTCCCATCTGTAAAATGGGGGAGCGGTTTTTAGCTCACAGGCTGGTTGTGAGGACTCAGCGAGGGAGCTCAGGACCCGGCATGCGCAGCAAGCGCTCCCTCTGTGTCTGTGATGTGCCCAAGCATCGTCTCCTTGGACCTCTCTGTCTCCACGCACTGCCCAAGCTGGCTGGGGGACAGGGAAAGTCAGGCCCAGGGCAGCAATGGATCCACACAGCCGACGACAAAAGGCAGGGAGGTGGTTCAAAGAAAAGGCACAGAGCCGAGCGTCAGCTCCCTCACTCCCAGCCCCTCATTAGAGGATGAAATTGCGGAAACTCTCCGAGATCCCTCCTCACCGTCCTTCACCTGGAGGCCTGGAACCTCTTTAATCCCCGAGACAAGCCAGGGCCGCTCCGGCTCTCCGACGCTCAAGTTAATTTTATGCTGCACTTTCGAGGCGGAAAGGTATTATTAAATATTAGGACACTCCATTAGAAGCGTGCCCAGGGCTGCAGAGAGCCGTGCCAACGTCTCGGAATGAAGCGCAACGCGCCCGCTTCACCCTAAACCCAAAAGGGACTCGGTTCACTGGGGACAGCAGTCCAGCGTGGCTTATCTGTCAGGCCGGCCACAGACACAGGAGGAGCCCTAAAACCCGGGTCACAGGCTCTTTCTGGGGACGCGAGCCGGCCCCACAAACATCCTGGAACAGCGGCTCCCTCCCCTGCCCTTGCAAACATCACCTCCTCCGTAAGATGCAGACTGAGGGTTCCAGCAGACGCCTCCTCCTCCAGCAAGCCCATTTCGGAGGCAGACACGGAGGCCCCAAGAGGGGAAGGGAATTGCCCAAAGCCACCAGCAGGGCCCTCCTGCCACCACAGCCCACAAAGCCGCTTTCTGGCTCCAAGCTGTGTGTTCAGCGAAAAGTACATGAAACAGAACAGGGTGGGAGGGAAGTCAGGCCCAACCCCGGGTCCCCATCCCATCTAAAATGTCTCCCTTGACTCCGGGGTTTCAGAATGTGCCACTCCTCCTTCCACCAACTCATCAAGCGTCTCCCCCACCCCGGGTTCCTGGAAGTAGCTGTGGTCACAGAATGAAAGCAGTTTCCTCTCTGTCACCCATTTCAAACAGATTCTGGGTGGACAGCCAAAAAAAAAAAGACCCAAGTGTCTTCTGGGACACGGGAATGACCACAGGCCGATTCACCCCAGCCTTGGTTTTCTCTCCTGTAAAAGGGGGCTAAGAGGTGGCTTCACAGGGTTGTCTCTGTAGGATTAGATTTGAGCCTGTAAAGCACAGAATCGGGCCCGGCACACATTAAGCGCTGAAATGTGAACTTGCGTTTTCCCGGACACAAAATACCAAAACCAGACCCACGTCCCCTCGGAGCCCTGAGAGCTGTGGGTGGCCCCCAGCCAAGGAGCACCTCCAGCCAACCACGGCAGCCTTAGGGCCCCCCTCTCCCCGGCCCTGTTCACAACCAAGGAAAACCTCGGACAAAGCACACGCTCTAGAAACCTTGTTTCTTTAAAAAAAAAAAAACTTTCATAATAAAGTTTATTCCCTAATCTGGTTGTAAAAAATATAAAATAGGTTTCTGCACAGCAGAAAAATAACGCCAGAGGCCCTCCCCCAACCCCTGGTTTGTGCAAAGATAAGTGGGTATATGTAAACATGAAGAGGTAGGAGGTTCCGGCGCCAGACACAGTTAAATTAAGCTGCTACAACAACCAGGGGGACCCAGAGGGAGCACCTGGAGGGGGCGCGCCCGCCCCAAGAGCTGGGGAGGGGTCTGCGGCCTGGACCCCCGGCAGCCAGGGGGAGGCGCATCGCCCCCCCCCCGCCCGCTCCCTCCAACCCAGGCGTGGAAGGCACCCCCAGCCCCAACGTTATTATTCCGGGGAAATAATAATTAATAATGGGAAATAATAAGGAGGCGCCCCAGTTAATGCTGCGTGCGCGGCCGCTCAGATCTGGAAAGGGAAGGAGCTCAAGTAGTCGCGGAGGACGGGGTTGAGGGGGATGCGCGCCAGGTTCTCGCGGCCCACGGTGGCCACGATGCGCTGGCGACACAGCTCCTGCAGCGGCCGCACGCGGCGCTGGCGCAGCGGGGCCCCCAGCATGCGGCGCGGCGCCGCCACGTAGTGTTCGAGCAGCTCGAAGAGGCAGTCGAAGGTCTCGCGGCTGCCGTCCAGGTGGAAGCGGCCGGCCTGGAAGTGCACGCGGATGCTCGTGGGGCCCGAGGCCATCTTCACGCTCAGGGCGAAGAAGCAGTTCCGCTGGCGGCTGTCGCGCACCAGGAAGGTGCCCACCGGCTCGGCGCGCAGCCGCTCGTGCGCCCCGTGCACGCTCAGGGGCCCCCAGTAGAAGCCGCAGGCGTCGAGGAGCGCGCTGGCGCGGGTGATGCGCCGGTAATCGGCGTGCGAGCGGAACGTGCGGAAGTGCGTCTCGCCCGGGGCCGGGGCCGGGACCGCCGGGCAGGGCCGCAGGCGCGCCGGGGCCGCGGGCGCCGCGGAGGAGGAGGCGGAGGAAGAAGAGGAGGAGGAGGAGGAGGAGGAGGAAGGCTCTGGCCGCCGTCGAGGCTCTGCTGCCGTGGAGATTGCATTGTCGGCTGCCACCTGGTTGTGTGCTACCATCCTACACGCGGGGCCGGCCGGAGGGGTGGGCCATAGCGTCCGGGGATGCGCTGATGGGGAGACAGAGGCAGTGAGCGGAGGCGCCGGGTGCGGCCGGGCAGGTGGGGGGCCGCGGGACCACTTGGAGGGGTGGGGCTCCAGGCTGAGCCGACCCCAAAGCGCCGAGGGCGGAGGATCAAGGCGGCGGGGCCCCTTGGAGCCTCAGTGGACGCGTCTAGTAAATGGGCTTCCCCATCCGCCGAGGGCTTCCAGGGTGGGTGCGGACTCCGGGTGGCGGGGAGGCGGAGTCCAGCCTCCAGGGCGCTCGGAGTTTGGGTAAGAGAAGGGGGCGTGGAGAGAGGTGCCGGGGAGAAGCCAGCCCCGACTCCGGCCACCTGGCCCTCGGCTCGCCGCCCCGCGGCCGCCGCCTGCCGGCCACACCGGGGATTGGCCGCCCGTCCGGGCGATTTGGGCAGAAGCAGGAGAAAAGCGGCGCTGCGGGAGCCCCGCGCGCGGGGGGCTGCCAGGGTGGGGCCGGCGGGAGCCAGGGGCGTGGCGGCCGCGACCCCAACGCGCAGCCCCCGAGGCCGGCCTGCCAGCCGCGATCCCGTCCTCCCCCGGCCTCCCCTGTCCCTCCCGCTTCCTTGCCCGGTGCCTGGCTCACCTGGCGGCGGGGCGCGGGGCCGCGGGCGGGGCGGCGGGGGGCTCCGGGGCGGCTCTCGCGCATGCTCCGGGGCCGGGAGCCGTGCAGCAGCCACGGCCGCAGCTCGCTCTGCCCGCGCCCGCCCCTGCGCCAGTCTTTTAAACCGGCGTGGGGGCGGACCCGGCGACAGGCCCCGCCCCCCGGGCTCCGCCCCCCCCTCAGGACCCGCCCTCCCCGCCACTTTCGGTTTCTTTTTCAAGGGTGGCGCTGGCGCGCGGCGGGCCCCCGCCAGCTAGAGCTTTTCCAAACCTCCGGGGACCCGCTCCGCGGAGGCCCCCTACGCTGACCCAGGCTGCACAGCCCTAGGACCCGTCCATCAAGGTCTCCGGCCCCGCCCCTGAACCCGCTGGCCCCTTCTCGGGCGCCCCCTTGGGACCTGAAGTCCCTGCTTTTGCCCCCAGGACGCTCGATCGCGGGTTTCTGCATCCAAGCCCTTAGGATGCTCTGCACGGGTCCTGACGCACCCCTCGCCCCCGCCAGGTCTCTGTCTTCTACTCCCCTCGAGCTAGACCTCTCCACCGAGCCTGGGGTCCGGCCTGAAGGTCCGGGCCTCCCGCCCCTCCGCACTGCTCCCGCCGTCGCCCTGCCCCCAGGGTCCCGGGGTCCCGCCCCCGCACCCCTCCCGGCCCGTCGGCGTCCCTAGTCTAGTCTTGGGCTTCCCAGGAAGCGGCGGCCTGACCGCAGGCTTCGGAGGAATCCTTCGGCGGCGGGAAGGGCGCCTCTACTGCGGGCCGGCCGAGTTCCTCGGAAACCGGGCGGGGCGGCGAGGCCGGCGGCTGCCTCGGCTTGCCCTCGCCGCTGCTCCACTGCCGGGGAAACTGAGGCCCGGGCGGGGCCGTGATTCGCAGCGACTGGCACCTCGGGAGCTCTGCACGAGGCACACCCTCCGCGCTCTTAGCTTGGGGACAGGAGCCGCTGGGCACCTCCAGACGCGCTTTGGAGCCCAATGAAAAGATGGTTCATTTTCAGATGCCGTGGTTCCAAAACCTGCTTTGAGTTTCCCGGCCAGTCCTCCGCTTCCCCCACCTCTGCCTGACAGATTCCCCTCCCGCTGCCCGGTCAAGCATCTACCCGGACCCGCAGCCCCACCTTGGGCTCCGGATGATGGGGGTGGTGGTGCGGGCTATGATTTGTACACTGGTGTGTGTGAGCGATCCTGGGTCGTGGAAAGGGGCTGGCACATGTAATTTTTCAAGGAGAGAAAGAACAAATGAGGGTTGGAGCTGGTGGGTAAGTAGTGTTGGTCTCAGGGTCACACAGAAGACAGGCCAGGCTGGGGGCACGGTGGCTGGCCGCTCATTGGGGCACACTGCCCTCTACAGGCTGCAGCCCAGCCGGCACCTCTCCTTGAAGCCCTGGGTGCCTTTCTGGCCCTTTCCTTCCCTGGCCCCAGGCAGCTCTCAGGTCCCCTGTGTTTCCTCCTGGACACGAGGGAGTGTCCCCGAGCCAGCGTTTCTTGGGACCTGTCGGCTCCCTGAATTCGTGTCAGCAGCAGCTGGTGGTGGCCATTGATGTGGTCGCCCTGGGTCATGCGCTCGCACGCTCCGTCTTGTGCAAGGGGATGAGAGAGAAGACGCAGAGCCGAGCGTGTGCCAGTGGTCAGGTGCTGTGGTCATTCCAGAGCAGTGCTGGGGCCGTGCCTGTGGGGGGTGCTGAGTAAGATATAAAGCAGTGCTTAAAAGCCACACTTTGGACCCAGACTCCCTGGATTTCAATTGCAGCTCTGCAAGCTTTCCAGCTTTGTGACCTTGGGCATAACTTAACCCCTCTGCCTTGGTGTCTTCGTCTGTGTGATGGAGATAACAGTAGCACCTCCTTCAGAGCGGTGGGGGTTGACTAAGTGACTGTGGGTCAGGTGCCTGGGACAGTCCCCCGTGAATAATCGGCTTGCAGTGGGCGTTGGCTGTCTGTCACTGTCTCTCATCCGAGGGTGCCTGTGGGCGTGGCAGCGTGTTGGAGCCTGCAGGCACGTGGCCTCATCCCTGAGCCCATTTGAGAAGCCAGAGAAGGCTCGGGTGGAGTGGAAGGAGGGGAGTTTTGGGGGTAAACCAGGCCCCTGGGTGCCAGCACTGGGTGGTGGGGGGGTGGCACCTCCTTCCCACTTGAGCTGAGGGCAGTGGTCCAGGCCCAGAGATGGCGGCCATGCTGGGCTGACTCCTGTATGACTTGTCTTCCTTGCATCGTGTCTCCTTGGCAGGCCTCTGCACGCAGGGAAATCTATAAATAGCTAATGGCCCATGTATCTCCCGTCGACAGCCTCGACGGCTACTGGGGACAGTATTTATTTTTCCCCGGGGACTGAGGCCTCCTCTCGGCCCCCCTCTTGCTGCCACACTCCCACCCATCGCTGTGGATCCCTCTCCTTCATTTCGTTTACTGCGATATATTGGCCTAAGCTGACTGAGCTCAAGGCTTTCCAGTCTTTAGAGCACTGGATTGGCACAGCCATCCAATCTGCCCATTTCACAGATAGGGAAACTGAGGCTCACAGGGAGAGTCACTTGCCCAGGGGCACACGGCTCAGAGCTGACACTCATACCCAGAATGTCAGATCCCAAAGCTTTTGCCCATGTCCACTGTGCTGTTAAACTCCCTCCACCCCCGGTTCCTGGTGGCCTTGCATCCTGGTCTGTTTTCTGGGAAAATAGTAGATGCTGAAGAAGTCAGAGTCATCCGTGTGTATCCTGAGGCTGCCTGGGGAGGAGTGGGGACTTCCCTCTCGTCTGTAAGCTTTGGGCCCTTCTGAGTCTCAGATTCCCGGCCTGGACGGTGGGCCTGGCCTTCCCTGACCGGATCCTGCTTGTGAAAGCTGTGGTGACTCAGGCACAAATCAGCCAGCACGTGTGTGTTCTCCTCGCCACCAACAGCGACAGTTGCTATGGCTTTGGTTTCATTTTCTGAAGTCCTGAGTTCTTTTGAAACCAAATCCAGATGCCAGAAGAGACAAGAAATGAGCTGATTGACACACATCTGCCTCCTGGACGGCTCTTGTGGAGGACCAGGGCTAGGCTCCCAGGAAGCCAGGCGGGGGTGGGGAGCCCTGAGGGGCTGCCTTCAGACTCCAGGCCTGCTGCTTCCCAGCTGTGTGACCTCCGGCAAGCCACTTGCCCTCTCTGGACCTCGTTTGCCCCATCTGCAAAATGGGTTCTGGAAGTTTGGTGCCTCACAGAGCAGCAAGGCATGCAGAGCTGGGAGCCAAGTGCCAGGCACAGGGAAAAGTGCTCAGCACAGATGATTTCCTGTCACAGGGCCGTTGGGACAGCCCTGTGTTCACAGCTTGCTGGACCACAGCCAGATGTGCGGGATGGTTCCCGAGGAGTGAGGGGCCCAGCCAGCAGCTTGGACGAGTCAAGATCCTGGCCCGGACAGCTAGGTTTTTCAGTTTCTCTTTCCAGCTCTGGCACAGTTCTGCTGGGAACAGTGGCCGCGGGACAGGGCCTGTAATCCTGAAACTGCCCTCTGCCCCCGTGCCCCTCAGCCCGCCTTTTCTCCGAACCCACGGGGCAGCCTAGGTTCCCAAGGGAGCCCGTGCCTCTGGGGGCCCTGAGCTGTGTGGCTTAGAGCCTCGATTCTGCCATGAGCGGCCTGAGTTTCAGTCTGCCACGTAATAAGCATGTGGCCTGGGGCAAGCTTCTCCATGCCTCAGTTTCCTCATCTGCAGGATAAGGGGAATAGCGTATCTATTTTCCTCCTTCAGTATTTATTCTGCAAGTATTTATAGAGTGCCTCCTATCTGCCGGCACCAGGGGCCCAGGGGTCTTCGAGCAGACAGGCGGCGAATTCACGCCATCATCTCAGATGGTGGCAGGTGCTGGGGGGCAATGAACAGGGAGAAAGGGAGCGAGGAGCTGTTGGTGCAGTGCGGGAGGAGTGAGAGAAGGCAGTCAGGGAAGGCCTCTTGGAGGCGGTGACAGCAGAGTTGAGGTCTTTCTAGAAGCCGGATAAAGAGGGCTCTAGGGAGAGAGAAGAAGTCCCAGTGGTGGGAGTGCTGGGCACACTGGAGAACCTGGGGGGAGCCGTGCGTAGCTGGTGTGGAGAGTGAGGGGGGGGGCAGGCCCTTGTAGGGGTGGAGGCATTTGGATTTTCCCCCTAATTGCAGGAGACACTGCAGGATTGGGTGTGGGCAGAGCTGCCTGGCGCTGGCCTTCCAGGCAGCTGTGGCGTTAGCCTCAATGACCTGCAGTAGAGGCCTTGGAACACACCCCATGTTGATCCCTGACCCCTGTGGGGGTCGCCACGCTAGCCCCTGAAATGGGTGCCACACTGGGACGTTGATGCTTTGTGGAAGAGAGCACTGCTCGGGGAGTCCACGGCCTGGGTTCTGGGCTCAGCCCCCGTACCCCGGGAGACCTGGGAAGGAACGGCTGTTTGCCGAGCGAGCCCCTGCTGGGGCGGGGCCAGGTGGCAGCTTTGGGGTCTGTCGCCTTATTTGCTCTGCCCCTGGTTGTGAGGTGGAAGCTTCATGTCGCCATTGGCCAGCTGAGAAAGGCTCTCCTGGAGCCGGTGGGACTTGGTGGAGGTGATCTGGGGGGGGCCCCGGGGGTTGGCCAGACCCCGCCTGGAGAGGTGGCTTTGCTGTGCCGGTGGCCCCGACAGCCTGAAAGATGGCATGTCTCAGTGGGGGAGGGATGTGCTGTGGGGACACTCCAGCCCAAGGAGAAACTTCTCTGGGACAGAGGAGCCTGACCGGCCCCGGAGCGATGACAGGAGCGGTGGCTGGACTCCAGGTGGTGACAGGCTGGCTCCTCGGCTGTCCTCGGAAGGCTTGATGAGAAGCTGCCAGTAGACCCGTCATCCCTGTGTGACGGGGAAAGAAGGGAGAGATCAGGTCAGAGAGGCTGTGAAGTGTTAGCCGGTCGCTGTTATGGTGTTAGTGACACCAACACAGGAGGGGCCCGAAGGAGGACTGCTGAGAGCCCTGGTTGTGGAGTCTAGACGCCTGTTGCCATCCCAGCACCCCACCCCCACCAGCCCCGTGGCTTCAGGCAAGTGGACTTAACCCAGTGGCCCAAAGAATAGTGCCAAAGCCCAAACGTGGCAGAACCAGTGTGTTTTTGTCAGTAGCTCCCTCAGGACCTCCTGAGAGTCCATTTGTCATGTTTTCACACGCTATTCTAACAAGCCGATCTGGTACCCTATGCCATCCCATAGCTGCTGAGGACAAGAAGCAATCGCAGTTTCCTTTGGGAGCTGAACGTAGAGGGGAGGAAAGAATTTGCAAAAGCTGCGAGCCTGGACGTGAGAAGGGACCACACAGCAGGCCGGGGAGATTGAGAGGCAGAACTCAGTGTCCCCTAGCCACGAGAACGCGGTTGAGAGTGGCAGGCACGGTGATGAGAGGTCGGATCCGGCCGGCCCTCTCTGTCTGGGCAGGCCTGTTGTCTCGGGGCACACAGACAGGGAGGCCGTGACGTGGGAAGCCCAGGGTGCTGACGCAGGAAGGGGCGCCTGGCCAAGCTGGCAGGGCCCGGAGGCAGGCTGGGAGGAGGTGATCCTTGACCTGAATTTTAAAGATCAAGCGGGACTAAGCCAAGGGTAGACAAGGGAGAACATCCTGGCCGAGCCCAGCACAAGCAAAGGCGTGGAGACGAGAATCTGAGGACCCCAGCGGCAGGTGGCGGGGGTCGGGGAGTGGGGGAGGGGAGAAGGTAAGACGGCCAGCGGCCCCGCATGCCAGACCAGCTGGTGGTTTATAGGGTGGTCCATAGGGTGAGGCTGATAGGGCGAGGTAGGGCTGGAGGAAGGCAGGGCCTGGGCTTGGCTTCTCCCTGCCCTGGGGCAATGAGTCCCTCTGCAGAGAGCCTTCTGTGTCACCTTGCCCAGACCAGCTAGCCCAGAAAGGGACCAAAGCCATTGGCTCAGAAGAGATAATAACACCACTTTGCCAGCACAGAGTTTATATTCAACATTCCTGTACTATCTCTTTTCAGAGTCCGCAAAGCTTTACTAAGCACCCATCAGAGACCTCTCCCTGATGCTCGTTCCTTTTTTCCTCCTTAATTTGCTCTCTCAATTCCTCACGTAAAATAATTAAATCAGTTCCCCTCCCCAGACGTAACTCCAGGCACCAGCTTGGTCCCTGTCTTTCCAGATCTTTTTCTCTGCACCTCCATAGCTGCGTTTTTCCCCGTAAAAATACAGTGGCTCTGTGTAGAATTTGTTCCTCTCTCGCTGGTTGTGTCTTTCTCCATCTTGCTCTTTTCCTCCCGGACAACAGATCCTAGCCACCTGGATAGATCACGTGGCCATCACCCCATTATTCTAAAAACCGCCTGCTATTCCTCAATGAACCTTGTGTGTTCGTGCAGCCGTCCCCTGGATGGACACATAGGTTGTTTCCAGTTTTTTTCCTCTTGCAACAATGTGACCCTTAACCCTCCCAGTGTGTCCTCTTGGCCCACGTGTGTGAGAAGCCCTTTATGGATTCGCAGACGCTGCCCAGTGTCCTGTCTGTGCGTGTCCCCCCGTCGGCAGCCGTGTGCGACAGTATCTGTTTCCCCGGGATGTCGCCCGTGCTTCTTGTCATCAAACCTTTTCTCATTTTGCGCATTTAATGGGTACACAAGTAGCATCTCACTTTTGTTTTAAGGCTTGCTCATTTTTTCATTTATTCAACAAAGAGTTACTAAGCTTCTCCTACGTGCCAGGCCCCCGTGTTAAATACTGGGGATGCGACAAGAACAGGATGCTCCCGTGGACCCCGTCACAAAGCATGAGATGCAACTAAGGCTCAGAGAGGTTAAGAGACAGGCCTAGGGTCGCCCAGCGAGGAAATGGAGGAGCTGGGAGTTGAACGTGAGTCTGTGTGGCTACAGTTTGAGGTCTTTTCCTCCTGAATTGGACCTCAAATGGGCCTCTCGACTCAGGCTCCGAATCCTCTTCTCTGACCACCCCCCTCCCCCAGGACTGCTGCGTCCCGTCCCGTTAGTGACCACCAGGGTGGGTGGAATGACAGCCCCGGGCAGCTGAGTGGGCAGGCCCACTACAGGTGGGGCCGTATCTATTTCGCAGACTCGCTGCACCCCAGCCCCCCAGCGAAATTGGATCTCTCCACCCAAAGGACGAGACAGGCCTGCTTCAGCCTCTGCACAGCTCTGGGCGGCTGCGTTTAGCATCTGTTTCTCTTTCCTGAATTTGGGTTTCCAGCAGGCCTGCCCCCAAAATAGCACTGCCCCACCCCAACCCGAGCAAGCGAAAGAATGAATTTGTGGTTTGATTTTTTTCCTCTCATCATCGTGTGTCTGGCGGTGAGAGGGGAGGGGTGTGGCGGCGAGCGCGTGTGTGCTTCAGGCTGTGGGAGGGGAGGCCTGGGAGAGTCTGCATGCATGCGTGTGTGCGCGCGCGCGCGCGTGTGTGTGTGTGTGTGTGTGTATTTGGGAATTCACACGTGAACCTAGCTCTCTGTGTCTGAGCGGATTTGAACGGCGACTTCTTTGTATATGTGACTGGCTATCTGTGTGTGCTTGTGCCGCTTTCTTTCTGAGTGCTGGTTTCAGGGAAATGTGAGGTTAATGACGGGTCCATAAACCACGCATGTGACCCAGTCTGTCTGCTTTCCAGTTGACTTCCTCTATTATAGAAATCATGTGTCTATAATAGATCCCCTGCTTCCAGTGATCATATCACAAAAGGACACCATCCAAGGAATAGGAGGTCTTTTGGTGAGCGGGGCTCAAAGTCCCTGACCTTATCCTCTGACCCTCTGTCTCTGTCTCCTCCCTTAAAACATGCTCCCTGGAAGGGCTTCCCAAACTCTGTTGCACTGAGGTGTTAATGACTATCATGGCATCATGGGGCCTTACATTTTTAAGTGGGAAACGGGATCCTGGGCAGAGCACTGACCTCTGATCGCAGACCTGCCCTCCAGGAGACCTCAATCAAATCATTTCACCTCTGAGTCAGCTTCCCCACCTATAAAGTGGGAACAGGAACTCTCCTGCTGAGGGCGTGTGGATTCAGTGGAAACACTTATGCCAAAGCATCTGGTATCCAGTAGGCGCTCCATAAATGGGGATTTCTCCCGCCTGCTTGGGCCTTTCCCCACACCCTCTCATGGGGCGCATGATGCCAACCTGGAACCTGTCCCTGTGGTGAGGGGAGGTCAAGGACCCCGGGGTGCAGACCGTGGCCCAGGCCCTCTGCTGGATACCCGCATGTGTGGGCTCTCAGTGAACCCCCCAAGGAGGCTCTTTGCCCTGCCATTTTCCAGACGAGGAGACCGAGGCACACAGAGGGGAAGTGACTTTCTGAAGTCACACACCGATCTGAAAGGAGACCTTCCCCTGCAGGCCACGGCCCGGGGCGGGCTCTGCTGAGCTCGGGGGCCTGCACAGCTCAGACTTCCTTTTTTTCCCATTGAGATAAAATTGACATCAAACATTCTGTTAGCTTTGGGTGTGCACCCCAGCGACTCGATATATGTATAGACTGCCAGGTGATCACCACCGGAGGGCGTTCCCCAGGGCTCCCCCGCAATGCTTCCCGGTCCCTTTGCCTCCGCCGAGGACAGCCTCATCATTTCCACGCCCGCCCTGCCTCCCATCTCCGCGTGCTCCACCCTGTTCCTCTAGCCCAAATGCCAGATGTGACACCAAAGGGACAGCAGGCAACCATGTGCCCCGCCCCATGCTAGGTGCCCTCACCGTGTCGGGCTGCTATGACCCGGCTCCGCCCCCCTCTGCCCTCTCTGCTGGCCCTCAGCCTGACCCCCGCACAAGCAGGTGCTCCCTCCCGCCCACCTGTCTCGGAAGATCTCCGGTGTCACCCTTCCGTCCAGGCCAGTGGTCCCTCTCTCCTGGCCACACCCGGCTAGCAGCTCTTTCTCTTGTCCCTTCTGTCCTCGACAACAGCCTCCAACAGCATCTTTAGAAACACGCTGGACCTTGTCACAGGGCCTTGTGTGTCTTCTGCGTTCGCAGAGCCTAGCACAGCCCCCAGACACATTCGGTTCCTTAGTAAAAGTTTGTTGAAACAAGTGTGGCTCAGAGAGGTTCATCCCCAGCCCAAGGTCACACAGCAGGGCAACTCAGTGATCCAGGATTCAAATTCAGGATGCTCTGGACTGCAGAATGCACATTCCTGACCCTCTTCCCGCCTGTCTCCCGCCATGCTCCTGGGTGGACTATTGCGTGGGGAGCACATAAACAGTGTGCGGGCCCATGGACATCCCCTGTGTGTGCACCCAGGAGGGCTCTGCCCAAGCAGAGTGTTGCTTGTCTACTTCACAGGCTCCTCGGAGTCCCCACCCCTCATTCGTTTCTGCCCCTGTGCCAGCATTAGCTCCTTATGCTTTCCTGAGGTCACGTGGCCTGTCCCTACTCCCTATGCAGCATCTTCCCGGCTTCCTGCTTCCAAACCAGGGCCCCGAACGCTAGACACCTTTAGTGCAATTAAAATGCCAACACAAGAAGAGTCATCCAGTGTGCAAGCTTTAATCAGTGTTGCATAGAAATCCCTGTAGTTAACGTGTTCCTGCAGAACGCTTTCCTTCTAGTGTTCCACGCGGGATGGCGTCCTCATTTGGGTGAAACCGACACAGGAATGAGCCGCGGGGTGCCTCTCAGTTGTGTTTCCGCCCTAAGGAAGGGAATGAGAAAGGGGCCCTTTAAGAGCTGAGTGTTTCCTGAAGTCACTTAACCTCTCCTTGGGGTCGGCCTGCTCCTTTGTAATGAGATATGCAGGGTGGATGGTGCTTAGACCATCGAGGTCCTTTTGACTTATGTGAATCCATCCATCCGTTTATCCCATTTATCACCCACCCCTCCGCAAGTTCACCCAGTCCGTCCATTTACCCGACATTAATCCAGGCTGCCCATCGAGCCCAGACGTCCGTTCTTGCATCAGTTGGTCCATTCAATTACTCCCTCCATCCAATTAACCGTTCGATCCGTTCATCTACCCATCTTCCAGCCACCCAGCAACCAGTGTTTGACCAGTTCATCAAATGCCCACCCTCCCATCAATACTCATACCTCCATCTTTCCAACTACGTCCAACCAAGTCACCATCCGTTCACCATCCACGTCCTTCCAGCCACGTCCAACTATCGTGGATCAACCGTTACCCAACCAACTAATTTCTTTCTCCCACCAGTGCATCGATCCAGTTCAGCTAACCACATCCATTCGAGTTGCTGGTCATTCAACAAGCATTTCACTCCACCCTCCCTCCCTCCATCTCTCCCTCCCTCCATCCCTCCCTCCATCTCTCCATTCCTCCCTCCATCTCTCCCTCCCTCCATCCATCCCTCCCTCCCTCCCTCCCTTCCTCCCTCCATCCACTCAAGCAATCACGTAACCCTTCTATCACCCATGCCTCTACCTAACCAACCTTCTAATTTATGGATCCACCCTGCCTCTCATCCACCAGCCAAGCTTCCATCTAGCTAATCTGCCATCTGTCCATCCTCCCAATAACTCATCCAATTTATCCAAAGGACTAGTCCAGCAATGCATCACATATACAACCAGCCGGAGCCACCGTTGCCCCTCCCTCTTGGCCCTTGCCTGTCGTTCCTCTGTGTTCCCCCTTGGAGGCTGCAGCCTTCTCCTCCCTGCCCCCGAGGTCCAGCTGGGCTGCCGCCCCTCCCCTGGGGCGCCCTGTGGCCCTTCCCGTTTGAAAGGTACCTGAGTGCCACCTCTGTGTTTTGCCAACCCGCTGGCTCCTCTTCACCGCCTTCCTCTTGCTCCCCTGTCTTTTCAGGTTCTTCCTCTTCTTGGAGTAGCTGCAGGAGTGGGTGATGGGCCGTGCGGGACCGGAGTGGGAGTGCGTGGTGTGACTGTGATGCTTTGGCACGTTGGGGCTTGACCTCTGGCTGCAGCGGCCAGTGGCGAAACTCTGGCTACAGTTCTGGCAGTGGTGGCTGCAGTCGCACTGGCTGCAGGTGTGGCTTTGGGGCCGAGAGTTGCTGTGGGGCTGAGAGTGGGTGACAGGGAGGCCCTGTGCTTTGGTGTCCATGGGAGGCCACGTCTGGAGGGGCAGAGGCCTCCCCTCCTGCTTTTCCGGCACGTCCAGATTTACAGAGGCCCTGGCAGCCCCTGGTTATATAGCTGGGGCCGATTGTGATGGCACAGGTCACAGGGGTGTAACAGATACTGCTCGGCTGGCACAGAGCCCTCTGTCCCTGCCCCTAACCCGCAGGGCGGGACAGGTTTCAGGGGCACTCTGGGGTCGTCCCATCTCTGGTTAAGAGTGGGGACCTGTGGGTCAGCTCGAGCTGAGTCTGCAGCCCAGATGCCCTCCTTCCTTTCCTTCTGGACACTCACCTCTCCAGGTCCCTGTTTCCCATTTGGTAGAATGGGGACAGCAGGAATACCTACCTCCTAGGGACATCGGACGGATTAAACGGGAGCCTCCGTGTCCAGCCCTCGGCTCAGGTCCAGCTCACCGGAAGAGCTCAATAAACGTTGTGTATGCTTTCTCGGGTGTTTGTCTTCTTCGCCCAGGCAACTCGGAAGCTGGGAGCCCAGGGCAGCCGGCCGGGGGGTGGGGGGGGGACAGGGTCGATGGGGAGACGACCGGGGCTCAGGCAGATGATGTCGGATGAGTTGGCTGGCTTACCGGATGGACAATGATGAGAGGAGCCCAGTGGCCTGGGGGGTGGTCCTGGGGCCAGCCTGGCAAGCCCACCTCGCCAGCAAGACTGAACGCCGGGAGCTTTAGAGCCGGGTTCGAACCCCGCTTCATCCTAATGTCCAGTCTTGGGTGGGTCATTTGGTTTTCAAGGCTTGGTTTCCGCATCTAACAAAGAGATGTCATTCCTTCCTTCCTGGTATTCTCGGGAGCCTGAGGTGCCTGTGGAGCCGCCAGAGGCTCCTGGAAGCTGTCTTCCTCCCTCGGCTCCTGCCTCCTGACTCTACTCCACCCCCTGGTAACAAAGACCCGTGGGACAGCTGGAGTCACGCCATCCCTGCTCCGGCCTCCCAGCACCTTAAGAGGAAAGCCCCCATGTGTGGGCACATGAGGTCCCCTCGCCTCGGGAGTTCCGTCCACAGCCCCCCACCCCATGCCGTGGCCCACGCCCTTGGGCTCAGCTCTCGGCTGCTCTCCGCCTGTACCTCCCTCTTCTCCACCCACGAAACTCCCTCCGTCTCCATCTCCCTTCCGCCAGCCAGCCCCCCATCTGGACGCCATAGTCCACTTCCACTCCTGCACAACTTTGCCACTTGTTACAAGGATTTGCTGTCATCCGCTTTTATGGCAGTTTCTTTCTTTCTTTTTTTTTCTTGAGGAAGATTAGCCCTGAGCTAACATCTGCTGCCAATCCTCCTCTTTTTTGCTGAGGAAGACTGGCCCTGAGCTCACATCCGTGCCCATCTTCCTCTACTTTATACGTGGGACGCCTACCACAGCATGGCTTTTGCCAAGCGGTGCCATGTCCACACCAGGGATCTAAACCGGTGAACCCAGGGCCGCCGAAGCGGAATGTGAGACCATAACCGCTGCGTCACCGGGCCGGCCCTATGGCAGTTTATTTCTTAATAAACATGTCACATTGTTGAGGGTGGAAACATCCCTCATTCACCGAGCGCCTCCAGTGAGGCTGGGCTCTGGGTCCCGCCCTCTCTGGGCATCTTTGTCCTCGAGCCTCACAAGGACCCTTTGTAAGTGGGCTGAAGGGTGCCCCCAAAAGATAAGCCCACATTCTAACCCCTGGACCCGGCAACACAACCGTGTTTGGAAAAAGGATCTTCACAGATGTGATTAAATTAGGGATCTTGAGGGTGCCCTGGATCGTGCGAGCGGGCCCTGGACCCAATGACGTGTCCTTATAGGAGCCACAAGAGAAGACACACAGGGGTAGAGCCCGTGGGGAGGCGCGGGCACAGGGTAGCGTCATGCAGCCACAAGCCCGGGAACACCTGGAGCCGCCATGAGGGGACAAGCAAGGAAGGATTCCCCCAGGACCTCTGGAAGGAGCACCCTGCCCACACCTTGTGTTCAGACTTCTGGCCTCCAGACTCCAGGATAAGTTTCTGCCGTTTTAAGCCACCAAGTCTGTTATAATTTATTACAGTAGCTCTAAGAAACCAATGCACTCCGTGAGATAGGTACGATTGTTACATTTTACAAAGGTGGAACAGGCTCAGAGAGGTTGAGTCACCAGCCCGGAGTCCCACAGCTAGTCAGCAGCAGAGCTCGGATTCAAATCCAGTCCAGCCTTACGGTCACTACGGGATCCACAGGGATTACGGAGGGCTCCCGCGGCTCTGTGCTAACGGCCCTGCCTGTGTGGGCTCGGTGGGGCAGGTTGGGGCCGGGCGGGTACTGGGCCACGCTGTGAAGACTTTCTGGGTCTCTGGACATTCTCCCCCACTCCCTGGACCCTGGAGTGCATAGTAGGACGGAAAGTGTTTTTGATTCACGTTAGGGCCCCTAGTGACTGGCACGGTGTGTGGCTTACAGCAGGGGTGTGACAGGTGTTTGCTGGGCGAAAGGATGGGCAGGTGTGTCAGGGCGACTCGGATAAGAGGACAAAGCTGCTGACCGGGATCCCTGGTCAGAGGGCGGGGGCAGGACTCACGGGCCATGAGGCCCCCACCTGCGGACGGCGCTCGCCTCTGCCGCCTGCAGGCTCACACATGGTGCCAAAGGAGCAGGCCTCCCCAGGAGCGCCACCTCCCCCACCCCGGGAGCCCTGACCAGGGTCCTTGTCGCCGATGGCTGGTGCCCCGGGGGACTCCTGAGGGAGGAGGGTGGGGATCACGTGTGTCATGTTTTTCGGGAAGAAAAGGGTTAAGGGAGCCGGGGGCAGGATGAGAAGCTTCTGGAAGGAGAAGGAGGTAGGGGAAGTGGGCACAGGGCCTGGGTTCTGCAGCTTCCACAGCCTTCTGATGAAGGACCAGCTCTGTCTCCATCACTGGACCCCTTGATGGAGGCCGAAGGGAGCTCCTGGTGGGGGCACGGATGGCCCCCTGGAGCGTGAGACAGCAGCCGAAGACTCTGGCTGAGAAGGACTCGGGCCCCTCCACAAGCCCCGACCCCAAACCAGGGCTGGCTCGGTGGACAGACCCACCACGACTCCAGCACCAATACTGGTCTGACTCCAACACTCACCATGTGCCAGGCCCGACCCCACCAGGCATCTCAGTTCATTCTCCTGACCACTGACCTGTGGGGTAGCCATTAATCTCACCCTTAAACAGGGAGGGGCCGGCTGAGGATCAGAGACAGGCAGTGACTCACTCAAGGTCGCACAGCTAGCAGAAAGAAATTTGAACCCAAATCTGCTGAGCTCCAAGCCAGCCCTCTTTAAGATAAGACTGTCTGTGGTTAGAGTGGGAAAATGGGGGTTTGGCTGAGGGGGTTGCTCTGTCCCATGGGGTGCTGTGTCTGCTCAGATGTGGAGGAGAGCCTCCCCCCGCTCCCCCTGGCCTGACTTTCCAGCCAGGCCACCGCGTTTTCCACCCCCCAAAGCAGGAGACGGCGACAGAGACGTCACGGGGATCGGACCTTGTGACAGCTTCTGGCTGGACATCAGGGACAGGGGTCACTGACTCCTGCCCTTCAACCTCCCTACACACACACACACACACATGCACACACACGCGCCCGCACACATGCACCGGCACGGGGTTAGGGACACAAAGTAGGAGCAGCCTTTCTTGGAGACTCTTTATTGACTCTGTTCTGAAAGCTCTCCTCGCTGGAACGGCGGCGGGCACCTCGTCCTGGGCCGTCATCGCGGGTCAGGAGTGTGTCTGCTTGGGCTCCGGGCTCTCCTGGGCCGCCTCGGCGTCGTCTTCGGCGCCCTCCTCCTCCTCCTGCTCCGCCTCCATCAGCAGCAGCTTCCCCTGCACCGGGAGCTCCTCGTCCTCCTCTTCCTCTGCCTCCTCCTCTTCCTCGCCCTCCGATGACAGGGAGAAGTTATCTTGACTCACGCAGGCCACCAGCTTCTTCATGGAGGATTCGTGGCCCCGGCTGTGGCCCGTGCCCAGCTTGGCACAGTGGGAACCCATCGCTCACTTTGGCTTCCTCTCTGGACTGGGAGGGAATGCCACTGAGGGGCAGCGGAGGGGCTGTGAGGGTGGCGGGCAGGGCGCTGACATCACAAAGGGGCCCCAGAATACCCCTCCCCCACCCTGGACACCTGAGTCTGGGCTGACACCTGACTCAAACCTTGGCTACCAGTGGCCCCGCTGGGTTCCGGGAGGCAGAGGCAGGATACCATGTGACCCCACCACATGGCCTCCTCCATTGGGCCCCACCTGGCAAAAGTCCCCCTTTGAGCTGGGCGGAGAGTTGGGGGTAGAATTTCTGGAAGCAGGAGAGCACAGATTCCTCCCCACATCCCAGAAACACTCAGCCCAAGAGAGCTGTCGGCAGGACATGAGGATGGTTAGAACAGCGGCGACCTGTGTGGGGGGCTGGAAGCGCTGGTTTCTTGACCTGAGCGGTGCCTACACAGGTGCACTTAAGACCCGTGCGCTCTGTGTAAGCTTTACTTCTAGAAAACTAAAGAAAACCCTACTAACCCCTTCTCGTCCCCAAAAATCACCCTTTAAAGGCAGCGGGTCCTAAGCTTTGGAGGTTACAGGGCTCTTTGGCTACACACACCCGTACAACACAGTTCCAGCCCAGGAGAGGGGTGTCCCCTGGGTCATTTCTGAGCACTGGGGGTCCATTTTCCAGCAGGTCAATGAGGTCTTGCCGATTTTGAGCCCCAAGTCCTCTGTGGCTGCGGTAGGCTGCATGAGGACCCTTGCTGGATTGTCTGGGCGGGCCCTCCGTACAATAGCCTGCGCCCCTGTGAGAGGCAGTCAGAGTCCACACGGCCAGCACTGTGACCACGGATGGCGGGATGCGGCCACAGCCGAGAAACACTAAGGATTACGGGGAGCCACCAGGAGCTGGGAAGAGGCAGGAATGGATTCTGTCCCGGCGTCCCCAGAGGGAGCGTGGCCCTGCTGACACGGACTTCAGAAGTGCGTAGTAGTGCAGGGTCCCATCAAAACTCTAGCGACCCACAAGGCCCACACAATTCAGCAGCTTGTCTTTTATTCCCTCCGTGTTGGCCTTTTCTTGCTGGAGCATGCCAGACCTGCTTCCCACCTCGTCTACCCAGCATCCCTTAAGATTCTTTGGTTGTGGAATAGCATTGTGGTCCTTGGCATCATGGAAGGCCCAGCATCAAACCTTGGCTCTGGGTGATGGAGGATGCCCACAGAGTAACATGCCAGCATGGTGCCTGGTGCCTAGGAGGGAGCCCTGAGCCCCAGTCCCCCTTCCTGCCCCCACCCCCAGAAGAATTTGTGCCATTTGCGTAAAGAAGACCCTGACAGGCCAGCACGTTTCTTTTCTCAAGCTTTATTGGGTCGATGACTTTTGGCTCGTTTTATTCAAGATCTTGTGGGCTCCTTGCAAACTCAGGGCTTGAACATCCAACGTCGGGGGGGGATTGCTGTGGTCTTGAGAGGTGGTCCTTCGGCAGGTGACTTTCTCTTAACTTCCAACCAGGAGCAGGTCGGGCCCCGGAAGGCTAGTACCGCCTTCTGCATCTTCTCCTCCGCCTCACCCTTCTGCAGACTTTGGGAAGAGAAAGTCCCGGTTATGGGGCCATCTAGGGGATCCAGGCAGAGATGGGGGCAAGGATGGGGCTTGGGGACTGTCAAGGTGGACAGGGTCCCGGTGCTGCCCGAGCCACCCACTGCCCCCCGTGCCATGGCCTGGGGGTGTCAGGGTAGGGAGAGGGAGCGAGGTGGGGCGGCCGACCTCTGCGATGCCTCCGGCGCCTGCAGGGGCGTCTCCGGCGTCTCCTGGAGGAGCGGTAGCGCCGTCTACGGAGCCTGTACAGCCTCCTTGGGGAGCAGCGCCGTCGTCTGTAGCGGTAGTAGCTCCCGGCGGTCCTCCGAGCAGCCTCGATATTCTCCGGGGTGTGCCCCGACTCCTGACCCTGGTCCTCGCCTCCGTGCTGCTGCCCAGGCCCCGACTGGGGCCGTTCGCTGGGACTCCGCACACGGTATCGGACCATGGTGCTGACGGGGCAGGCGGCTCAGGCTGAGGCTGCAGCTGACCTTGGGGACAGGGGGGCCACGGCTCAGCCTGCCCTCCTGCTCTTGCTGTTACTGTTGGGCTGGTCTGCCGGCCGCTCGCGGGGACTCGTATATAAAGGGGGCCCCCCACTATGACCCGGCGGCCCCGCCCCACTATTGTCCCCGCCCTGGCCTGCGCACAGAGGCAACACAGAGCCCGGGCCACAGCCAGTCGGGCCCAGAAGGGCGAGCCACCCCCTTGTCTTACCTGAAAACGTGTCCCTGGTCCCAAGGAGCAGGTGCGACTCTCGGGCCACAAGAAGGGCGCCAACTCTTTCTGGTCCAAATCCAGGCCCTCGTCCCACCCCACTGGTGGGAATCCATACATAGTCATTCCAGAATCTTCCTCACCACCTTTGGGGCTGTGCCGTGGGCGGGGGGGCCTTCATTACCCGTTATCTGTCCACACAGTTATTTAGGGGTTACTGTATGCCAGGCCCTTATTTACTTTCCACATACCCATTCACTCCTCATTCTTAGCCCCGTTTTCCATGGGGTGAAACTGAGGCATGAAGAGGTTAAGTGACTTGCTCAAGGTCACTCTGCAAATAAGTTGCAAAGCCGGGCTTCGGAGTCCGTGCCTGTGGCCCTCCGCCCCCTTTCCCAGCCCGAGGACGCCCTGCCCTCCTCCAGCTCTGCCCTCCTCCTGGGCCTCTCACGGTACAGGGATGACCCCATTAAAACCCCGAGTCAGAATCCTAGCAGCTGAAACACTGTGGTTCCCCTTCCACAGAGGGCCAGGAGGACAGCGTAGACAGAGGAGAGCCTTCCTCCCGAGGATGGCGGGGCCCTGATCCCCAACCCTGGGCATGTCACTCACATGCCAGAGTGGGTGAAGGGTCTAGAGTTGGGGGATCATCTGGGACTATCCAGGTGGGTTCATTGTGGTCACATGGGTCCTCCTAAGATGGAGAAGGGAGGCAGAGGGTAGAAGGGAAGACACTATGCCTCCGGCTTTGAAGGTGGAGGGGCCATGAGCCAAGGAGTGCAGGCGGCCGCTAGGAGCTGGGAAAGAGAGCATTCTCCCTTAGAGCCTTCAGAAGGAACACAGTCCTGCGCAGACCTGGATTGGAGCCCCTAAGCCTCATTTGGGAATTCCGACCTGCATAACTAACATAATAAATGTGTTTTATGCTATGAAGTTTTCAGGAATTTGTTACAGCGGCGACACGAAACAGATACGGACGGCTCAGTTCTGTCCTGGCGGCCGCGTGCTGCCTCTTGCTGAGGCTCCCTAGGGCGCTTGTTAAAAATACAAATGGCCGGGCCTCACCCCCAGACCCTGCCAAACCAGAATCTCCACGGCCAGAGCTGGTCTCTGCTCGGCCATCCTGCCTCCATCTGCCTGGGATCGGAGAGGCAAGCTAGGAATTGGGGACCTGGAAGTGGGTTCAGCTCCCTGCTCAGTGTCCACACTTGAAAAGATGGGGTTGTCCATACCTGTCCTGGAAGGTCGGTGTGAGGCCGAAAGTGATGGATGTGGAACCCCTGTACGCTTGATAAATGGAAGCCGCGGCCGTGACATTTCTGAGGTGCTGGGTGGCCCTGTCCTTTCAGGGAAAAGGGTCTCGGAGCTCCCGGTCCCTGATAAATGCCCTGGGCTTTGTGACCGAGCTCCGTGTCAAAGGATCTGACAGTTCTCTGAACTGAGTTGAGCCAAGTAAACTAAAGTCCACTGGGATCCCCTTTGTTGGTATTTTGGGAGCCGTCCTCACGTCTCCGGGCTTTGAAAGCCTGGGCGTGTCATGGGTGGAGCGGGCAGACGAGGTGGGCGAGTTGCCCTGTTTCTTCAAGTGAGGATGCTGTGCCTCCATCCATGAGGATTAACGTGAAAGCTCAGCTCAGCTCCCTGGGGGCAAGTCATCCCTCTACCCAGCGGAGCCTGAAACGTCTAGGGCTGCAACATGAAGAATGGGAAGTTCTGAAGCCACTTTTTCAGAGTGGGACTCTGAGCTTTGGGCTGAAATAAACCTGTGTGGGCATGTTGGGGATTGGTGGGGTGTAGTGATGGGCTAGTAAATCTCAAGCTGGTAAACGTTCAGCCGGCCCTCGACAGTGGGGCGGGAGGGACGTACTCAGAAACCAGCATGACCAGGCTCCTCTCCCCACCAGGGAGGGGTCCACAAAGGAGTGGTTGGGGGGAGGCAGATTTTGGGGTGTGACTTGGGAGCAAGTCAAGAGTCCGGAACAAGATCCAGTGTGACAACCGTCACTCTCGTGTCCCCTCTTCCCAGCATCCCCAAGCCCTCTCCCCACTTCCAATCCCCGAGCAGCAGCCCCCTCCCCTGAGCTCCCTCTCAAGGCAAAGAGACAAGAAGTGCAGTGATGTCCTCAACATTTATTGACAGGCGGCATTGTTCGCTAGCAGGCTCCTGTTCATTTCACTGGGATGGTGGCATTTTCAAGATGTGGCAAGGTCTTGAAGGCTGGTAAAATTTCAGGCAGGAGTGTGGTGGACTTGCTGTCTCGTGCACTATCGTCTTCTCCTACACCTCAGGACAGTGTAGCGGCGGCAGCACACTGCGGGGGGAGCGAGAGAGGGTGAGAGGCGATTCCGGCCCGGGCTGAACCCCCAGCTCCCCGCTCCACCCTTTTTACCTCTCCTCTGCCGAACGGATCTCCTCCTTCGCCTGCGACATCTTCGTCTCCGGCGGCGACGGCATCTGCTCTGGCTCTGGCTGCGGCAGCATCTGTATCTGGCCATGGTGATGGATGGAGTCGGCCCGGGTGCTCAGAGCAGGGGGTACCACCCTGGTTGAGCCAGCCAACCTGTGAGCAGGTGGAACTTCGTGGGCTGTGAGCCAGGGGCCGGCTCCCGGGCCCTCTTATAGACGCGGGGGAGGCCCAGGGCATTGTGAGGTCGCAGAGGCCTGGACCTCGCAGACCAGAGCTGTCCTGCCTCACGTCCGTATATGGGCATGTGGGGGGCCCTGGGAGAGGGCAGGGCCGGGTCATGATGCAGGAGGGCCTCCCGTGTCACCAGCCGAGCGGGGACAAGAGGACATCTCTCCAAGGGCAATCACTCATTCGTTCGTTCAGTCAGTCAATTAACAAACTATTATTGAGCACCTACGGCGTGCCACATTCTGGGCTAGGCCCCAGGGTACAGTGATAATAAGGCAGATGCACTGCTGCCTAATAAACTTTATAATGTAACTACGGGGAAACACGAATGAGATAACCACACAGAATAATTGTAATTGTGAAAAATGCTGAGAAGAGAAACTGCAGGTTTTTATGAGGGTGTGTGTATGGGGGGGGGGCATGTGACCTCATAGGAGGCCCTAGGACAGCCCCCTAAGGAAGTGCTGGTGAATTCCTAAAGGATGAGTCAGAGTCGGTGGAGGGAAAAGCATCGGGGAAGAGGGAACAGCAGGGGTGAAGTTCTGAGGCGGCGCACGGTGTGTGGTTCCCTTTATCAGAAGTGTCCAAAAGAGAGAAATCTGTCGACAGAAATCGACGGGCAGCTGCCCAGGAATGGGAAGAATGGGGAGTGACTGCCTATGGGGACAGGGTTTCCTTTTGGGATGACGAAAATGTTTTGGAACTAGATAGAGTTGAAGGTTCCACAACAGTGTGAATGTACCAAATGCTGCTGTGTTGTTCACTTTAAAGTGGTGAATTTCACGTGACATGAATCGTACCTCAATTGAGAAAAAAAAGCAGTTGTCAGGCTGAACCGTGTTTGGCGGGTGTAGAGAGTCAGAGAGGCCCACGTGGTGGGAGCAGAGAGCCCGCGAGAGCGTGGGCAGGATGGTGCTGGACCTGAGCTTTGTCTGGTCCCTCCCACATGCCCGTGGGGGTTAGGATGAAGAGGGTATCAGTTAGAATTAGACTGGGTTACTTAGAACAGAAAACCGAAATAAGTGGCTTTTGCATAGAAGTTTGAGGTTTCACTTAAGCAGAGGTGACTTGGATGGTCATTGGGGTGTCCTTGTTTTGGGGACACACACGGGAGTATATCGGGATCATGGGCATTGTGTTTGCCAGCTGCTCTCAAGTGATTCAGAAAACGAACAGCAACAACGGGTACACATCTACACAGAGAAGGAGGGAGGGAGGGACGGAGAAGGGGCTGGTGGAGTGAGCGGAGGAGAATGTTACCAATCGACCCATCAGCTGGAGGGAGTTCTTGGGTTGATTGTTGCAACTTTTCTGTAACTTTGAAGCTATTAAAAAATAAATTATTTTTTTTTAAAACCAAAAGGAAAGAAATCCGGAGGAAGACCTCCCAGGGCTGATGTAGGGGCTCTGCCCTTATCAAGGGCCCAAGCATGTTTCGTCTTTCAGCTCTGCCTTCAGCAAGTGCTTCCCATGTTCAAGGTTGCCTCATAGTCCAAAATCAGGGCTGCCATGGACAGTTGTGCAGTTCGTGTGCTGCTCAAAGCTCTCAGCCAAAGGACTGAGTGGAAAATGAAATCCAGCCTGTGCTCTGCTTGCCAAGCCAGGCCTGGCACCCGTAGACACACTTCTGCCCGTAGGAGCTGTCTTTTTTCTAATGCGACTGCTCACAGTGGAAGTCTTTTTTCTAGTTTGAACAAAGGCACGCTAAGGGCTAGCCTCGGGCCTGCTGGAAAATCACCCATATCCACTGTCCAACCAGAAGGAAGGGGGAGGGGGGCACGAGGAGTCCTGACCCTGGATCATCTGCCTTATGGCGAGAGCACCCTGCCCCTGGGAATGAAGCTGGGGTTCCTAGGGAGGAGAAAGGGGCCAGTGGATAGTTAGACAGCTAGTACTCTGCCCCAGAGGGGGTGCAGCCAGAAACTTCCAGAACCCCACCCCCTGACCATGATGTTGAAGCTGACATCCGCCGAGTTACTAGGAGGGCTGCCCGGGGCACACAGTAGCCTAGCCCTAAATTTTCATTTATTCATGCACGTCTAGATCGCCTTACAATTATCACCCCCAACCCCATAACACTCGATGCTTTTTATAGATGGGCTGCGTGGTCCCGAGGAGCCCGTGGGATGGCAGGGCGGCTGTTTACCCAGGAGACACATTTGAGACCTGTGGGCTGGCTCGCACCTTCATTCAGGCTTTTATTGAGCACCTGCTGTGTGCCAGCCACTCCTCCAGGCAGTGGGAACACAGCCCGAGCTAGAGGGACAAGCGTTCTTGTCCCAAGAAGCTTGCCTTCTAGTTGGACAGACAGCATTCACGGGAACAGAAAATGATCCAAGACTTCCAAGTTTATGACAAATGCGCAGAGAGTCGGGCGATGCAACGGAGAATGACTAGAGGGTGACTTTAGGGGCCGAGAGCCCTTTTCAGGAGGTGACATCTGAGCTGAGAGCCAAGTGACAAGAGGGGCCAGCTGTGCCAACATCTGTCCAGTGCGGATGTCCCAGCTGGGGAGGGAGCCAGTGGCTCTGCCGCACGCAGTCATTCAGGGCCTCAGGCCGACCAGCTCTGGCTTTCAGACACACAGCTTCCCGCTTGGCCGGGACGTCCACGTCCGGCCACTGGACGGAGGGAGACAGAGTGGGGAGGGCTCCAAGGCCTGGCAGTCAAGACCCTGAGCTGCGCTTCCCAGCGGCGTCACACCGCGGGAGGAAAGTGTGACTCTGGTGTGCTTCTCGCCCTCTGCCACAGAGCTGGAGGGACCCAGGGCCCGGGCGTGGACAGTGTGGTTGGTCGGGTGCCAGAACAACAAGGAGGGGCCACAAGGTCGCTCTGAGGAGGGGCGTGTGAGCTGAGACTGGGCTGGTGGGAGCTGTCCTCGGCAAGGGGACAGGAAAAAGCTTGGAACTGCAAGGGGGCCCTGTGGCTACAGAGGAAAAAACAAGCCTTGGCCCTACAGCTCAGTGCGGGAGGCGGCATTAGGGCCATCATTGCAGAAATGGGTTATACACCCGGGAAGAGGCCCGTGGAGCTGTGAGAGGGGCAACCGGCCTAGCCTGGAGCCGGGACTTCAGTGGCCATCTGAATTGTTGCGATTTGCTTGTTCCAGCAGCTGGCCGTTACCCTAAAAAATGCAGCGCTTGCCACTAAGTGGTACTTATTGCATTTATTTGTGTCCAAGAAGAATGCAAGTCCTATGAGATCAGGAACTCAGTCCCGTTCACTGTGGCACTGCCAGTCCTGGGAGTAACCAGTATGGAGAAGAAATCCAAATATTTGTTGAACGAAGACCTGAATGACTAATGGATGCTTTCTATGGGCAAATGCTTTTACGGTCATTTTCCAAATGCAAGATCACGCATGATTTTGGAAATGTCACGCACCCGCTCCCTGCCCGCTGCCCCAGTGCTGTGGGGTGTGGCCTCAGGCGGGAAACACAGCACTGACCACCGAGACCCCCACCAGCTGAACACACGCGGAGTCTCAGAAGGACGTCCAGTCCTGTCCCCTGAGGTCCTGGTTGGTCAGTCACGCTGTGTGCCCTGTCCCACCCCGACATCTTGATGTCACAATGGCCACCCACAGCCGCCTTGGTCAAGGAGAGATGTCAGGAAAGAGGTGAAGGCAGGGGTTGGGCATGGGGGCTCCCTCTGCCTTGAGAAGGGTAGAGCCGGGCAGTCAAGTCCCAGGATAATGAAAGGACCTTTTGGCAGTAAGATGACAACGTTATAAACATGCCATTGCCCCCACAATTCCGCAGCCAGGGGTCTGTCCTGCAGACGGTCTCACACGTGTCCGTAAAAGTGGGGTAGGAGGACGTGCGCTGGAGCATTGTTTGTGGGAGGAAAATTGGCAGTAACTTCTTACTGTCCACTCACCGTTCATCTTCAGGAAACGGTCAGTCAGTTGTCACTATTTGCAAACAGCTCGCAGCCGTCCAGAAGAACACTATAGAGAGATGTGCCCTGAGACGGAAGGGGTCCACAGTAAGTCCAGTTGCTCAAATGCAGGGCATCACCCCATGTTGGTAAAGAAATTCTAAAATAATTGTTCTCATTAGGGAAAAGTCCAGAATGGAATATATTGGATTAGCGGTGGGGAGTGGCATGATGAAAGATTTCACTTTCTATTTTACTCATTTTTGCAGTGTTTGGAATTTTTTGTCAGTCTGAGGGCCAGCGCACTGCTGAGTGTCGAATGAGTTATTTCCGTGATCAGAAAAAAATAACCACGCCCGTTAGCGCATTATCTGAGCGATTGCTATGTATCGCAGTCCCATTTAGGTGTGGGGTTATTCTTTTTTCTTTAATAAGCTTTTTCTTTTGGGAAAAGTTGGGAAGTTAGCTGCAGAGAGTTCCTGTACACGTCCCACCCGGTTTCCCCCGCCGTTAACATTTTATAGCACGGTGACACGTGTCACAACTAAAAAGCGTCCCAACTCCAGACTCGATTTGGATTTCACCAATTTTCCCACTAATGCCCATTTTTTGTTCCAGGATCCAATTCATGGTGCCACATCCAGTTCTCCTTATTTTTAACATCTTATACCAGGATGGCACCTTTGTCACGATTAATGAACCAATTTTGATCCTTTATTATTAACTAAAGTCTATGCTTTATTCAGATTCCCTTCATTTTTCCTTAATGTCCTTTTTCTGCTCCAGAATTCCCTCCAGGATACCACACCTCCTCAGGCGCCTCTGGGCTGTGACAGTTTCTCAGACTTCCCTCGTCTTTGATGACCTTGACAGTTTTGAGGAGCACACATCAGGTATTTTGTAGAACGTCCCAGAATTGGGATTTGTCTGATGTTTTTCTAACAGTCAGGCGTGGGGTCAAGGGGTCCTCCATGCCTCCTATCGAGGGCGCATGCTCCCAAGATGACCTACCACGGTCGATGTTGACCTTGCCCACCTGGCCGAGGGAGCGTTTGTCAGGTTTCTCTGTGGCAGAGGTACTCTTTTCCTTTCCCCGTTTTGTACAATATTCTTGGAAGGAAGTCACTCTGTGAGGCCCCCATTTAAGGGAGGGGACCTCACGTCCCACCTCCTTCAGGGCAGAGTACATACTTAAATTCTTTGAAATTCTTCTGCACTGAAAAACGGTCTCTGCTCCCTCACTGACTTATTTAATCATATATTTATAACAATATAGACTCAGGGATATTTCGTACTTTGGGCTACAATCCAGTACTCCTTTATTTATTAAGCTGTTCCAGCTGTGGCCGTGAGGAGCTCCTTCCGTTGGCTCCCGTGTCCCTTTGCCACGCCCCCATCATTGTGAACTTTCTCGCACTTCCTTACTTTCTGGCCCTGGGAGATGCTCCAGGCCCACCCTGTGTGCTTCCTGTCGCAGACCTAGAAACAGCCATTTCTCCAAGGAGCCCCGGTGCCTTGTTGGAAATGGTGTTAGAAACCATGATCTGGAGGCTGGGTGGCTCATTGCTATGGGGTGGTGTTGTCTCAGCTGACAGAGCAAGAAAATGTGTGTGTGCATATTCTCCTGCACATGTATGCAAATCTGTCAATATTTCTACGTGTAGCTACCTGGATCACTGTTAAAACCTGGATCAGAGTTCCGGCTGATGTCTCCAGCTGTAATCCACCAGCACGTGGGTGTTCTGGCCTCTTCCCTTGCTTGGCTGTCACCTCCCACCCCAGGAGTGGGAACCCTGGCACCTGTCCTCCACCGTCCATTTACTGAATTTTTCAATTCCAGCGTACCTGCATAGTGGCTTCAGAATTGTTAACCTTTACCCCAATCCCTTTCCATTTATGAATTTCTTGAGTTAATATTTATTGAATGCCCGTTGTGCTGGGCGCGATTCTAAGCAACATAAACAAAACAAAGATCCTCACCCTCATGGAGTTTATATTCTAGTGCAGCAGACAGAGCAAGCAACATGATAAATAAGGAAATGTATAGTATATTGAAAGGGAAACAGGAAAAGCAGAGTAGGATGAGGACAGCTAGGCTTGCTGTGGGTGACTGGGGATGACAATTCAAGGTGCTCAGGGCAAGCCTTGTTGATAAAGTGACATTTGAGCAAATCCTGAAGGCAATGAGGGAGTCAGTCATGTGGATGTCTGGGAAGAGTATCCCAGACAGAGGGAACAGCCAGTGCAAAGGCCCTGGGGTGGAGATGTATCTGCTGTGTTCAGGAAACACTAAGGAAGCCAGTGTGGCTGGAGCAGAGAGAGGTAGGGGGTCAGTAGAAGATGAGGTCACAGAGGTGGGGGGGACACCACTTAGAGACCTGAGGATTTGGCTTTTACTGGGAAGGAGATGGGGACCAGAGGAGCAACATTCTCTGACTTAAGGACCCCTCTGCTGCTGCATCGAGAAGACCGCAGGGGCAGGGGTGGAGGCAGGGAGCCGGGTAGCAGATGGGAGGGGCAGGCGGCTCAGACCAGGTGGCAGCGGTGGGCATGGCGAGGAGTGGTCAGATTCCGGCTCCGTTTTGAAGATGGAGCCAGCAGGACTTACCGGCAGCCTTGATGGGGGCAGGAAGAGACGAAGAGGAGTTGGGGATGGTTGTGAGGCTTTTGGCACGAGCACCTGGAAGGAGGGAGGCCCCATCAGCGGCGTCGGGGAGGAAGGCCCAGAACTGGGGCGTCTCAGCGGAGGCATCGAGTAGGCAGTTCGGTATCTGAGCCTGCCGTCTGGGCTGGAGGTGACCCATTCGGGCCTTGTCAGCATGTCCGTCTTGAGACTGGATGAGATCGCTGAATTAACGTCTGATAGCTGCTGTCACCAAGCCCCACAATTTCGCAGCGTAAAACAGCACAGATTGATTATCTTACAGTTCTGCAAGTCGGAATTCCGAAACAGGTCTGTGGGGCCGCTAGCAAGGCGTCCCCCGGGCTCTGATCCCGTCTGGAGGCTCCGGGGGAGAACCCGCTCCCCGGCCTCTGGCAGCTTCTGGCTGCCCACATTCCTGGGCTCGTGGTCCCTTCCTCCATCTGCAAAGCCGGCAGGGTAACATCTTCAGATCTCTCTGACTCTGACCCTCCTGCCTCCCTCTTTCCCTTCTAAGGCTCTCCCGTGATTACATTGCGCCCACCTGCATAATCCAGAATAATCTCCCCAGCTCAAGATCTTTAAGCACGTTTGTGAAATCCTCCTGCCGTGGAAGGTAACAGAGTCATAGTTTCAGGGATTAGCTCGTGGACGTCTTTTGGGGCCACTGCAGCCCCGAGGGGGTGGATGGAGATGGAGAGGAAGGCAGTCCCCATAGTCCCCAGCAGCAAGCCTGGGGACCCCCAGCGTTAGGAAGTTGGGGAGCTGAGGAGCAGCCAGAGAGGTCTGAGGGAGCCCGGAGAGTGCACGGGGTCCAGGGAGCCACATGGACCAAGGGCTCCAGGGAGGAGAGAAGAGAGCTGCCTCGACTCACTCGGCAGAGGGAGACGGGGAATTCAGGCCTGGAGGTGGCAACCTGGAGGACTCTGGCGACCTTGGGCACAGGTCGTGCGAAGGGGTGGGGCGAGGAGAGCTGGCGGGAGCGCGTTTGAGAGGGAAGGAGAGGAGAGGAAGTGGAGAGCCAGCGCTGACAGCTCCTCCAAGGACTTCCACTGCAAAGAGGAACAGGAGCTCAGGAGAGCGGGGCCAGAGGAAGTGGGCCCACGAGGCTGGGTTTGGTTTGGTTTTGAAACGGGAGAATCAAGCATGACTGTTTCCCGGCAGGAGTGAGAAGGAACAACAGAGGAGACCAGACTGAGGAGAGCGCGGCTGGAGCCCTGGCCCCGAGCCAGAGAGAGGACGCAGGACAGCAGGACGCTTGTGTCGGCCGGCTTCTGAGAGGAGCAGCGAGGCAGGGGCTGTGGTGCTGATGCTGCCGTGTGGGCAGATGAGCCGGCTCGACTGAAGGTCCCTGCGGAGAGCTTCCACTTTCTCATCGGAGGATGCTGATGGGGTCTGCCAGCGCCTGCTGCCAGGCCTCCAGCATCCCTGGTCCACTGCAGCTCTGTGCAGGCAGGAAGCATAGTGAGCCCGGTTTATAAAGAAGGGAAATGAGGCACAGAGGTTTGGGGAGCTGCCCAGAGTTGGGATTCCAGCCCCTGCCCTTGGTGCCACCTCCAGCTGAATTTTTGTTACTTAGTAAATAAGTAAACATCCTTATTAAAAAGAATTTGCACGGGGCCAAACCAGTGGCGCAGCGGTTAATGTCGTTCCATTTCAGTGGCCTGGGGTTTGCCGGTTCAGATCCCTAGTGTGGACCACTTGTCAAGCCATGCTGTGGCAGGTGTCCCACATATAAAGTAGAGGAAGATGGGCACAGATGTGAGCTCAGGGCCAGTCTTCCTCAGCCAAAAAAAAAAAAAAAATTTGTACCATTCAGAAGAAGATGGAGTAAAGAGTGGTGGTCCTCCTTTTCTGGTGCATTCACACACGTGTGCGCGCACACACAGAGACACACATAGGCACGAAGTTTGTTATCTTTAAAAAGAAGTAGATCCCACTGCATTTCTGCAACTGACTTTTGTTCAGTTACCCACATACCTCAGCAACATTTCCACGGACATTACTGAACTGAGCAATTCCACGTGCATAAATCCATCCTCTCAGTCAGGGCCGTCCAATAGAAACATAACGCAAGCTACCAAGGCGGGGTATGGGCCAGCTTAAATTTTCCGGTAGCCACCTTAAGAAAAAATCGCAAGAAACAAGTGAAATTCATTTTAATGTTTTATTTAACCTGGTATATCCAAAGTATTATCTTCTTAACATCATCAGTATGGAAATGATGAGACACTTTACATTCTTGGAAATCCAATAGATTTCACCCTCACGGCTCATCTCAAGTTCAACGAGCCACGTTTCAGGCACTCCAGGGCCACGTGGGGCTCGTGGCTCCTGTATTGGAGAGGGCAGCCCATGACGATGGACTGTGGACTCTCCCACAGGAGCAAAGACCACGTCCGTGACCAATTCATCACAGCCCTGCCGGTGAGAGCCGCACCGTTGCAGCCAACCTCAGCGTCCCTGGCAGGGGCTGGCCGGGAACTGATGGCCGGTCCTTCGAAACGCCACGGGCGGCCAGAAAGAGCAAGTTTAAGGACGGCTCTGAGAACGCTTGTGTGATTGAGAGCTGCTTTTCATTTAAAAAATATTAAAACATCTGTTAAAGAAAATATTCATTTTAGGGTTAATTTATTTATTTAAATTAATAGACTTTTTTTTGAGGAAGACAGGCCCTGAGCCAACATCCGTGGCCATCCTCCCCTACTTTATATGTGGGACACCACCACAGCGTGGCTTGACGTATGGTGCCACATCCGTACCTGGGATCAGAACTGGTGAAACCCCGGGCCGCCGAAGCAGAGCGTGCAAATTCAACCGTTAGACCACCAGACCAGCCCTTAATAGGCTAGGTTTTAAGAGCAGTTTTGAGCTCACAGATAATTGAGCAGAAAGTACAGAGAGTTCTCATATACCCAGCTTTCTGTCCCCCTTCTGCCTCAGTTTCCCCTGTTATTAACGTCTTGCATTAGTGTGGCACATTTGTTAGAATTGATGAACCAGTATTGACCCATTATTGTTAGCCGAAGTCCTTGGTTTACATTAGCGGGAACAGTCTCTGGGTTTGGACAAAGGCATAAAGCCACGTGTCCACTGTTACAGCGTCCTGCAGAGTGGTTTTACTGCCCTAAAAAATCCTCCGTGCTCCGTCTCTTCCTCCCTCCTCCAGCCTGGCAGCCGCTGATCTATTCACTGCCTCCACAGTTTGTCTTTTCCAGAATATCACGTTCATTATTTTTAAGGAATGCATAGACCCGGCTTTGCAAGTTTATTCACCACATATTCCGAGCAGATCTGGGATCGAAATGAGGGGCCCTCGCTTGTAACTTTAGATGTTTCCTATGAATCATTTTTAAAGAGTGTGTATCCATCAAAATCATTTTAATGAAGCTTCTCAGTCCTGTCAAATGTCTTGTCCCCAATCTCTGGCTTGAAAACGCACATTTTAACGAGATCTGGGTCCCCTTTTCACGCCTTGCTTCCCCATCTCATTCCCTGTCCTCCGTCTCTCCCGGGATATTGGTGTCTGTCACTCCTGGGCCCGTCTTTATGTACATGCGTGTGTCCCCAGGGAGAACAGTCTTGGGGGCTGAACCTTTGTCAGGCATCACACCGCGTGTCCCGCAGGACCTGCTCTGTGTGCCGAGTTGTGTGTGTGAGGTTCCCCCGTGGACACACGGGGCTGAGGACAAGCAGGGCTGGGCCTCAGTTGCACCGTTGCAGAGCCCCATTCAGCTGCCGGCTGCATCTGCTCCCGCCGGACCCCGAGGCTGTTTCCAGTCTTCCCCCGTGACAAACGGGGACCAGCTTTGGGCCTGTGCACAGGGATTTCTCTAGAATACATTTGGCAGACTGACAGTTCTCAGCTCTCAGCATGCATCAGAATCTGTGAAAACACCCATTGCTGACACCCAACCCAGAAGTTTGGCTCTGGTTTTTTGCCTTGTTTTTCAGTGTGTTTGGGGCAGAGCCTGAGAATCTGCATTTCTGACAGGTTGGTCCAGGGCCGTGCTAGGAGTCCCCACAGCGGAGGGATGTGGGGCCGAAGGGCGCCCCCTTTTGAACTGGACCCGCCGTCCTCGCAGGCTGTGCAGGTGCTGGTACCAGTTCACTCCCACCCCGTCCTTTCTCCACACCCTCACCGACCTCTGGTGTTTCCAGGCTTTATCTTTCTTACCAACCTGATGGGTCTCTGTTTTAAACTTCTGTGTTGGCGTAATGTTGGATGTACAGAGAAGTTGCGAGGTTGGTAGAGAACGTTCCCACGCTCCCCTCACCGCGCTCCCCCATTGTTCACATCTGACATCACCGCAGTACGTTTCGCAAAACGACAGACACCAAGTTGGTCCGTTCCTAGGTCCGTTCCTATTAACAACATTGCAGACTTTATGCAGATGTCACGTTTTGCCACTAATGTCCTTTGTCTGTTCCAGGATCCAGACCCGAACCCCACAGTGCATTTCCTTTTAAAATTAGTATAAGAAGCAACAAACCTGGGGACAACCTCACAAGTAGGATGGGTTCCCGTGAGGAGTGGGGGAGGGGCAGTGCTCCAGGGCCCCGGGGGGCTTGGCCCCACCCAGTGGGCCCCCTCCTCTCCGCCCAGGTGGGCTGGGGGTGGGGGGTGGGGCCTTTGTCAGCCCTGCAGGCCTGGGGTGGGTGGGCTCCCAGTGCAGCCACCGTAATAAGAGGGGTTGGGGTACCCTGGGCTTTTATACCCTGGGGAGCAGGAGAGGTTGGGGGACCTCCGTCGGGGTCCCCCGTGCAGAGGAGGCTGGGGTAGGAGAAGAGGCTCTGAGGGGTGTGGACTCAGACTCAGGGTCTTTCCCTTGTATGGTAAACTTGGGCCTCCTGTGGGCCAGCCCTGTGCTGGTGCCAGGGGTCAGTAGGGAGCATGACCCTCCCTAGGCTCCCAGCAGGGGAGGCCCTCGGTGTACAAAGAACACACAAATCAATATGTAAAAGGAATTGCCAATTGTGCTAAATGCCACAAAGGAAAAGGTCAAGATTGTAGAGGAAGAATGAAGGGGAGCGACTGAAGTTGGGGTGCAGTCTGGGAACTCTCTGATACGTGACAGTGAAGCTGAGACCCCCCAGGGCGAGTAGGAGTTGGCTGGGAGGAGATGGGGAAAGGCGTTCTGCACAGTGGAACAGCAGGGAGAGACGCCCTGAGGAGGGAGAGAGTTTGGAGAGTCAGAGGACATGAGAGAGGACCATCGCCTGGGGTGCAGTGAGGGCACAGGGCACAGGTTGGCAGGGGACCTTGGTCAAGTCACCTGTCACTCCTCTAACCTCTCACCCACCCAGAGTGTGGGCAACCCTCTCGGGCTGGACATGGAGGTGCCAGATTGTCACTGCCCGGAATGGAGGGCCTGGGATCCCCTCACCCCCGAGTCCCAGGGGCCCCCAGGGCTGGCCTGAGACCAGACTCCCCGTGCCTCTCCCCTGCACACACCCATCTTCACCTCCCTCACCCTGCCTGCTGCAGAAACCGAGGATCCCGAGGGCCACCTGGCTAGTCTTCCAATACCACAAGGTGTTCCAGCCTCAGGGCCTTTGCACCAGCTGTTCCCACTGTCTGGAACACTCTGGCTCCATAGCTTTGCCTGGCTGGCTGGTGCTTGTCTTTGGCTCTTCAGAGAGGCCCTTCCTGGCCCCCCTCTTGGATGTTCCTCCTTCTAATCTTTATCACATCCCCTGGTTTGTTCGCCGTAGCCCTGATCACGATCTGAAGTCGTCTTTGTGCAGACCTTGTTGGTCTTGTCCCCTGCCACATCCCCAGGGCCCAGAGCAGGGAGCCAAAGTCCATTCTGAATGCTTCTCGAATGAATGAGTGAATGCCTGCTGTCTGCCCCCTCCCTCGCTCTCCATGGTTCCGAGTCCCCGGCGCCCTCTCCCAGGGAACTCCTTCTGGGGCCATCCAAGATTCTCCTTCCCGATGCTTTGGAGGCCGAAGACCACCTGTTGGAGAACTGGGAGAAAACTACGGCCTGGCCCCAGCACTCAGTATTTTGCAACTGCTTTCAGGGTGCCCCTGGCCCTGCAGTCTGGGTGAGGGCACCTGACAGATGAAGAATTCTGGAAAAATCAGGTCAACAAACATGGGCCAGGCGTTCAGCATGGGCCAGGCATGCAGGGAGTCAGGGAGGCCCCGGACTGTGACATAGGCTCCTCAAAAGCAATATCCATCACAGTACCCAGAGCTCTTCTCTAAGAGGGTGTGACATCGGGGCCACACATCAGGCTTCTGGACAGAGGGACGAGAGAGGCTACTAGAGGGCTTCATGGAGGTGTGGACCTTTGAGTGGGGTTTTGAGGGGTGAATAGGAGTTCACAAAGTGGGTGAGGAAGGGAAGGTCATCCATGAGATGCTAAACGTATGTCTTGTTCATAAAAATCTCCCTCCAGATGAAAAACAGTTTGGGAAGTCAGTTCTTCTTCGTCAGACTGCCCCACATTGCTGAGAAACCAGTAGACCCACAGAGCAAATGAGTCCCTCAGGGCCAGATAATTTCAAAAAGCAAAATTAGAAAAGCCTCTGAAAAAAGTGTTTTTACACCCCCCCCCCCCAAAAAAAGATGTTTAATGTGGCTCACGGGTCGTATTGTAGGTTTGCTATGATGTGGAGTGGGGCTCTCCTTGCGAAGTCCTGCCGGGGCCTCCGAGGTCTTCAAACGGCTCGGTGCAGCCAGGGAGGAAAGCGTTGGCAGTTTCTCATAAAGTTTAACACACACCTACCCTGCGATCCAGCAGTCCCACCCCTCAGTGTTCACCAAGAGAAGAGAAAGCTCATTTCCACACAAGGGTTTGTGCACGAGTGTGCACAGCGGCTTAGTTCCTCATAGCCCCCAACTTGGAATGGCCCAGACATTCATCCCCCGCAGATGGCACAAACAACTCAGACCTGTCTGTGCCAGGGGACAACGGTCAGCAATAAAATGGAGCAAACTATGGATGCACGAGCTCACACGTGACCCTCACGTGCGTCACACTTGGGGAAAGACACCGGACAAGAAAGAGTTGTACTGTGTGACCGCTTGCTCTGTAGGCACTTTCAGGACAGGCCAGGGGGGCTGGTATTGGAAGAAGGCAGAGCAGTGGTCAGCTCTGCTGGGGGACGGGGGGGGAAGACACAGAAAGGAACCTTCTGGAATTGATTTGAGTGGGGAACACATACGTATAAAAAAATCATCATGCTGGATATGTAAGCTTGATACGGTTCATACACTTTACTCTGTAAACGTTCTTCCTTGAGAAAACAAATACAAACTGGCTCCCGCTGGCCCGGATACGCACACAGCCCCGCGGACGATAAGGCATTCGATTGATGGGAAAGAGAAACTCAACCTCCAACCGCCCGCCCCCTCACCCACAGGGGTTTATTTTCACTTTCCTGCCGGTCTGCGGTGGGCTGTGCAGCTGGCCGCCCCATGGGGAGGCGACAGGTGAGGCCCAGGGCGCGCGCACAGCCGGTGCCTTGCACAGGTCCCCCCAGGGGAGGGCTGCAGAGACGGGGCGCCACACGGGGGGCACAGCCCCAGCAACACACGGCTCTGAC